CATGTTTGCGCATATGACCAATCATAAAACGATATTCAATTTCATGTGATCTACCAATCACGAGAAAGTTAGCCTATAGAACTAACCCACTAGGTACATACGTACGTACATTGTGATTGCGCCAAGTAATTGTTTATTAGTATCTTCATGTACAATTCGGAATAAAGTATATAGTATGAAACATAGTGTAAGACAACTTTAAGTTTTTTTTTTTTTTTTTTAAATGTTAAGGTGACCACTTGGGGGTCTGGCATGTTTTATTTGCAATCTGGATTAAGTTTCGGCTCGGTCGAATAGACCTTACCTGACTTTGTACATCAACAAGAGTACAATTAGTCACACATACAACTTTAGTCATTGCCTATTTAAGGGTTCCGCTATATCTATTTTTATCTATAGTTACCTATCAATTGCCATACCTAAGATCTGCTTGTAGATCCCCTATTTAAACCCTCTGATCGACTTCATGCCATCGTGTCATTTTCACCACTACCTAACTGCCGCAAAGGCCCTTTAGGAATACTTTATTCTCATGATAAACCTGCTAGAGTTTTCCATACTCACAATTTGGCTAACCTAGTCTCTGGTAACTTACGTCCTTATCTGAGGACAAGTACTTGCGAGCTGAGCCTGCTACCATTACTGTTGCTCTTGCAAAGTTTACTCAAACCTCAGCATATACTTTACAGACTATTACCGATTTTAATCTCAACAATCCTAAACTGCCAATTTAGATGGCCTGGAAGGGCTATAACCTGCCCTGATCCTTACGATTGGGTTCTTTTCCTCCAGTTACTCTCTCGGTGGCCTGGTTGGTGGAGTGTCTTGCCAAATACTTCAGTTCTGTTCAGTTTCGCCAGTTCTCTCAGTAACAATCCTTCTGTAGTACTGTCAAAGATCTGTGCTATCTCTCTACTCAGGTCTTGCCAAGCATGTTCTATTGTTCTTCCTGGTTCTCTGGGTTTACAATGATTCAGAAGCTTATTCGTATAACTCATACATCACACAAATGCCTCATGATCTCCCAATCCTGTTGGTGCTATCAAGGTTACAGAGATCTTGTTCCAACCATTAATCAAATAGCAGTAAAGATGCACAGGTAGAATTTTTTGAAATTCGTCGCCAGTGAGTTTCGAACCCTCTACCTAGCCAACAATTGCTTAAAGATGTGACAACTTAACCACTTCACTAAGTCGCCATATCCTTCAACTTTAAGTTCTTATACTCATATATATATATATATATTTAAAAATCATATCTATCAAACTTATAAGTAAGAAAGATGACTATACTTATAAATATAGTAAGTATGAAAATGGTCATACTCATAAGCAGTGTTGTCACAGGACAGTTGTGAACAGTAAGTTTAAACACTTTGAACAATTTTGATATTTAAATAAATTAAAATTACTCAAAATTTTATTAAAATAACCTATATTAATTTTTAAGTAAAATATGTTCAGCATATAAAAAAATATATAATCATATATTTTTTAAACAAATTTATTAATTGTTAAAGCTTGGATATGCTCTGGACACTTGTGGATACTTGGATACTTGAATGTTGGACAGTATCAAAAAAATCTTTGAACGGTCAAAATGTACAACACTGCTCGTAAGTATACCTGTGCGATGAAAATATGAATGTAAAGCTAATATTTCACGTGATATAAGTACTATGTTTGGAATGATTGTAGTGAAATGTAAATAATCAGATATATAATCATCTAGATTAATTTTTTTTATATTCCAAAATTTAAAGAGTATTAACTAACTAGTCAGAGTTAGATAGTTATTTGACGGATATATTTTTATTATAGTCGAACCTCTATAATTGCACCCCTTGAGACTATAAGACAAATTTTTAAAAATGTTTATTTAGAGAGGATGTGCATTTATAGAGAGTATTTTTATTAGTGCTAGGCAAAATCAAATAAAAATTTGATAGTCAAATACTTAAGTAATATTTGATGATCATAATTTCTAAATTAGGTAATACATAATCTTACTTTTAATGTTAATAGACTAAGATTATGTATAATAATAATTCTGACTTGTGATACAGTTTGTGTCAGGTTGATTACGCATAACGATAATCAATAAAGAAAAAAACAAAATTCTAATAATCTGTAAAAATAAAAATAGATTTTAGATCTACAGATTTGAGATCGTTAATCAAGAAAAAACAAAATTCGGTAATAATCTGTAAGAGCGAGAATAGATTTTAGATTTACAGATTTGAATCTTATAATTTAAATTAACTTGTGTCAAAAACAAAATATAAATTAAACTTTATTATTAAAACACAGGACAAGATTTAAGAGTCTATTCTCGGATATAGAAATAATTTAACAAAAAGAAGTATTTGAACAAGAAAGAATGATTCGTTAATGGACTTCGAAACCTGCTGCTGTTCACATGGACACTGCAAATTTTTTCGCTTCTTTAGATTCACAATTACGACAAATAGTTCTTTAGTCAATTACTAAAGATCGATCCCAATAATGCAACGAATCAAATAATTGTAGAAACCCTTATAAGAGTAGAACAGGTAGATACAAAGAATTCACTTGTAGGTTTTTTTAATATAATAAACTTACAGATCCTATAGCATTTGGCAAAAAAATTTTGAAAGGGTTTTTAAATAAAAACAGAAAGACTGGTTGCTCTTAAATACTTTCTAGAGTTACAATTGCTCTTATTAATATCAACTTATTTGGATTGCTTTATATTTATATTGATAGTTATATTAATGAGAAAACATATTAAAATTGATATATATGAATGAATTTAACATATAGAAATTTATTTTATATCCTAGGTATATTTGCTACCCAAATCCGTAGTTTGCTGTACCCAAATCTGGGATAAATTAATCTCTCAAAAACTTTGTTAATGATCTTTATTTAAGCAAATTAAATATATTTTTATAGTTATATAGAATATATTTACAAAGTAGCAAGCCTATTTTTTTCATTTAATTTTTTATAAATGACGATTGTTTTTTTGGATTTAGAATAAGGATTTGTACTGATTTGGGTGGCAAGTATAATCCTAGGTTGATATTAATATATTGATATTAATGAGAGACAACTGTATTAATAAATCGCATTTTTTAAATATTAGATATTAGGAATACAATGATGCCAAATAATGTAGTAGATATTAGAATCGTTCTATCAAAAACAGGTTTTGAGTTATTCAAAGAGTGTATGATTTATTCTGTTTATTTTTCTTGTTCATAAACATGTTACTAATTTTTTTTTCTAGATGCTTCCGATTTCTTAGGAATTCAGGGAAATATGATTTCTTTGGTTATATTGGTTCTTGAATTTTTTGAATAAACATATAACTTTATTTTTTTTCAAGTACTGATTGAAGACATTCTTTGAATTCTTTGAATTCTAATATATTTCAAAAGCGTATGATGTTTTTGTTGTTTTTATTTGTAGAAATATGTTACTAATGCTTTTTTATTTTTTTCTAGATATAGCTCAAACCCTTCTTTCTTTCTAACAAGTGATAATCACGTTTATCATTCTGGAGGTTATACGGTCTTCACTTATATTTTGTTGTTAAAAATTAATTCACCGCTGGGTTTTCTGCTGCTTAGTTTTCAATATTATCATTGTTAGCAGTAGATTTATTCATCAGTATTATTTAATGTTTTGATGCATTCATGCTGTAGTGTTGATGGTAATTAGGCTATTTCTAATATGCTTGTTATGTGATAATATTTAGTTAGAATTAGAGTTAAGATAGTTCTACTATAGGCTGATAGGATTAGGGCTAAGTTTTTATACTTGATATAAATAATTAATAATAATAATAATAATTTATTTTTTAAAAAATTTTTTATTATATATAAATATTTTTTTTTATTAGTATTAATAGAAATCTATACAGTAAAATTTTGGATTGAAAATAATTAATATATTAAATTTATGTGTAATCATTATGCTTTATCACTATTGATTTTTATTTGTAATCATTATGCTTGCTTAATCACTATTTAATCTTTATGTATAATCATTATGCTTGCTTGATCGCTATTTAATTTTTATGCATGATCGTTATGCTTGCTATATAATCTTTATGTATGATCGTTATGCTTGTTATATAATCTTTATGCGTGATCATTATGCTTGTTTGATTGTGCAAACTCTCAGTATTAATAAATAAGATCAATTGTTTAACAAAATAAAATAATTTAGTATTACAAAATAGTTTAAAACAATAAACTACTAATTTGTCTATTCTAATTTCAAAAATGATATCTACTACTAGTATGCGTATACCAGCTCTAGTATAGCTATTTTTTGATTCTCCTATTAATGATGAAGAAATGGATAAAAAAAAAGCAAGATGTCAACTAAATCTAGGAACAAAATATCTTAGTGTAAATAATAGTGGTACTTCTAATTTGCGTAGCTATATTATCAATATTCACAAAATGAATATCCTGGATGTGGCTAGTTCTGAAACATCAGCTGTTGTAGTTCCTCAATCCAGTGTGCATATTCTTAGAGAAACATTGGTTAAGTGGATTATAAAGGATAGTCTTCCATTTGTTACTGTAGAATCGGAAAGCTTTTATAAATTATTTGAAGTAATTAGAAAATTAGAAGACAACATTACAGTTCTATCTGCAAGAACAGTGAAAAGAGATCTATTAGCATGATACTCAGTATCAAAATCCTTGTTAAAGGATATACTAGGAAATAACTCGAGTAAAATTTTACTTACTATAGATATATAGACTAGTAAAAGCTGTAAGACTTTTTTAGACATTACAGCATACTGGCTTGATGATAACTGAGAAATTCAATATCACGTATTCGATCTTGCGCTATTCGAAGAATCGCATTCTGAGATAAATATAGCAAATTCTTTAATGAGTATTTGTGAAGACTTCGGTATTACTAGCAAATACTTGGTATAACACTTGACAATACTTCTAATAACAATATATTTATTAAAGCATTTGAATCATATTCTACAGATATTGGTGGTTCTTTCACTAAGCAACAAGGTCATGTACAGTACTTTGTTTATATTATTAATCTTGCTTTGCAAGATTTTTTATCTCATTTATGCTCCAAAGCATCAGACCAAGAAAACAAAAATCTTAATATTTTGGACTAAGCAAACACTTCTAATACTTCTTATATCCCAA